TTTCCCTATGTTATGTCGACTTTCGGCCAATAATGTGCTTCGAGTTTATCATCATTTTACGCCTGATAATTTCCCGCAGATGTAGCCTGGCCTTAGACTCAGTTGCATGAATTATAGTCTGTAGAAATAATTTTATTTCTATATAGCTTATACGATTTTATTTTTAAAATAACATGGTGGACTTGGTCCCATGCCACTTTATTATCCAGCCCTACATCCATCCGCTGTCTCGCACAGATACAACGTGATTCTGCTCGTTCTGCAGACTTCAGCCTTCTGCAGGTTTCTGGGAGAAGAATAGTTTCTATGGCTTATTGAGCAGTCAGCTTCCCCGCAGCAGGTGCAGCTGCAGACGCTGTTTGTTGCCTCCTTACAGAAAAACACAGCGAGACCAATTGATCTGCGCGGTCATTAATAGGAAAGAAACGCGTGAGAGGAGCGTCAGGCAAGGAGTCAACCCGGGCATGTTACTGTTAAACACTCCCACTTGACAAGGACCTTTATTTGATTAATGGATTATATCCTTCGTGTTTGAACCCTCTTATAAATTCACCACAAAGGAGACATCCGAGAGTCGCCCTGCAAGACAATTTTACCTTCAGTGAATGAAAAGATCAAATAAATTGCAATGGTTTTAAGTTAGTCTTTGAATCGGGAGCCTGTGCTGTCTGTGTTTTATGGAAGAAGCACTGTTTTCATGTTCACATATTTGAACATTTTAAATACACATCCTAAAATAGAGGATATTAAAAGTATACATTTCGACAGCCTTTCTTTAATTTAATGGTATTTTAATAGGCAAGTAAAAATGTAACAAGGCAACTGCTTCATGTCTAAAAATTGATTTATGGACCCACTAAGCTAAACATTATACATTTATATGATTTTAACACTTGACGCTTTTGTTTTACATTGTTCATTTTGTCAAGATATGTAGAAATATGAATAACCTGATCATCTGTTAACTTCCATTGTTTACCACCAGCGTTCTATTTTGCACTAAATTAAATTCAGCTTGAGAAGCAGATTTGACTATTAATTTAGATATGGATAGTGTTCATATCATGCTGTGAGGGAAAACCAAACGGTGAACCCTCCATCTTGCTTTGGCCTCAGAGACAAGCTCTCTCTGTGTGTGTGTGTGTGTGTGTGTGTGTGTGTGTTGGCTGTGAGGTCGTTGTATAAATGATAGTGACTGTCTGTCTGTCTGACACAGGGAATGGAGGAAGGATCAGCCTTGGGCATCCTCGACCACTCTGTCATTAAAAAAGGTAAGAGGTGGGAGAGCTGTCTGTCTCTCTCTGTGTGTGTGTGTGTGTGTGTGTGTGTATGAGGGAGAGAGAGAGAAAGATCGAGTGTGTATGTGTGCATTTGTGTGCACCTATATAATGTGCTATACATGCTGAAGGGGTTTTTGTGTTTAGGGGCACACTAGCACCAGCTTCTCTTGCTGTCTGTGACACACATTCATGCACACACACACACACACACACACACACTATAAATAATTCTGTTTTGCTATTTCATTTGAAGTCAAGAAGTCCTCTAATACTCAGCTGCAGACTTCACCCCAAAGGCACACATTCTTAATGAACTGTTCATGGTCATATGAGAGCGCATGTGTGTGTGTGTGTGTGTGGATGGGGGGGATTAGAGTGAAGAGAAGAGGAGAGAGAAGTGGGGCAAAGAAGAAAAAGGGATTTGAACATGATAAAAGAGGAGTTGAGGGGAAATTTGCAGAGTATGATCGCTCTAATATCACACACTGAGTGGCAGAAGACACAGGGGCATGATTATAAAATTCAAGTTGTAGCTGGTGCAGTGTGATACTGTGAAAACCTCGCTCAGCCAAAAAACCCTGACGGGTGTGTAGTGGCGCTTACAGAAAGTGAGGATTTGCTCCAAGAAACAAACTGTTATGGAATGACTGACAGCATAAAATTAAATGTACCTTTGCTAATAAAATAACAGTTAAACAGTGGAAGTTCTGTATTTAAGAGAGTTGTCTTTTAAATGAAGAACATCTGCAAAGAATTATCAATAGTTTTTCCTCAAAAATTGTAATTTCAGGTACAGAAAACTGAAAAATGTGGATGAAATGTTGTTGATCAACATCCATTACGCCTCCTAATTCTAAATATTTCCATTCTTCAAACCAGTCGATGCCCTGAACCCCCCTATGCCATAAAGTTTTCACAGAAACAAGGATGTAATTCTCCAAATCAAGTCCCTGAAGAGGAGTTTTAATATATTTATAGCTTGATTGAAGCGGCTTCGGTTTTGTTGCTGCTGCAAACCAGCAACCATTTGATGAAGCGACAGTGATTCCATTTGTTTGCCAAACACTTAGAATTGATCATTTACTACAGTGAGACACTGCACGGCAAGCACTTCTAGCAAGATAGCAGAGCAAACCTAAAGCCCTTATGAATAAGAGAATCCAATGGGGAGAACAGAGCAACATGGAATTGAAGAGTGGGAGGCACAAGTCAACCAAGCGGGAGGAAGATGAGAGCAAAGGAGAAAGAGAGGGAGGGGCAGGCAGACGACAAAGCAGAGTGAGCTTCAGAGGAAACTTTGCTGCTCTGTGGCCTCACCAGCTGCTGATTGGCTGCTTGTGAACGAGGGGGATTTTAAGAGAATTTTTCAGTTTGGGGAATCTGTGCTGCACTGCAGGGTGCCACATGGACGCCACCCGCCACCCGCAGAGTGCAAAGGGAGAGCTGAGATCCCAGTGTACAGTTTGACAGATGAGAGGAAGGTGAGGGGAAACACAAAGGCCAAAGAAAGAGAAAAGATTTGAAAGGTTACTTTGTTTCAAAGTTAGGCACAATTTGCATATTCTTGTAAACATGTAGTATTCTTGTAAATACTACAATTTCAAGCAGCTTCTTCAGCTAAGGTTATGTGAAGCAAACAAATAAGGGATCTGCTCTTTAGCAAGGCCGTGCTAGTCTCAAACCGGTTGCAACTTTAACCTCCTGGTTGGTCATCTTTAACCTCGTCATTCAAAACATGACAGACAGAAAAGCTCAGTCGTAAAAGTTTACCACAGTGCAGAAAAGTGAATGCGAACTAATCTCTTCAAGGTGTGAAATAAAGCTATTTGAGAATGCACAGTCAAAATGCAACCACCTGCAGTTTAAACAACAGGATCAACAAGCAGCACCCCAGAATTAGAGCTGTTGACACAGGGGAGAACATTACACTGAATAGATTAGTCAGGAGAGGAGGAGGAGGAGGAGGAGGAGGAGGAGGAGGAGCACCTTATCTCACAGTCGCACAATATCATTGTCACTACACAAGACATGTTTAGGACTGACAATGTCTATTTATCATTTCTTCTCCCTACATCTAGTTTTTTTTTTTGCTATTAAACTTTTCAAAGCTTTGATTTTCATATATTTGTCTGACAAGTCACTTTAAATAATCCAAAGTAAGTTATGTTTCTCTGTAAATAAGCTAAAACATTTCTTGTTTTTGCCACACTCTACCTCCATCCCTCACCCCTACGTCTCCTCTGTTTCTTCAGTTCCTATCCCGTCCAAGCTGAACGGTTCTTCCCTGTCAGCCCTGTCCATCGGTAAGGAGGGTCTCGGCATGGGAACCGTGTCCAACCCGGCTGAGGTTTTCTGTTCAGTGCCCGGTCGCCTGTCGCTGCTCAGCTCCACCTCCAAATACAAGGTGACGGTCGGGGAGGTGCAGCGACGCCTCTCCCCGCCTGAGTGCCTCAATGCATCTCTGCTAGGTGGAGTCCTCCGCAGGTGAGAGGAGTGGGAGGGTGTGATGTAGTTTTAGAGATCATTTTTTGGAAGGTATTTTCAGGCCTATAATCAAAGACAAAATATATCCCTTAAAGGAACACTTCTCAGCCACGTCTGCCCTTTCTAAAATCTTTTTACATAAATCACTGGAGAGTTTACCTCTGGGCCTCTAAAAACTAGTAAAGTGAAACAATCTGAGAAGGGAAAAATCCATCTTTGGTTTAACTGATCACAGCAACAAGTTGTGAAAAGGCGTTTTCTGTAGAGATTAATTGGATCATAAGCCCTGAAAGCTAGGGAACTGAGGCCTTACATATCTTAAATTTGGGTTAAAACATATCTCTTGGCCATGTTTTGCTCTATAAAAGGTCAAAAACAGTGAAATAACCACCTCATTTAGTGTTCCTTTGGGTAAAATCTTTTTACAATCAATGTGCTGACTAATCTGTTACTACTCCTCAAAGTGAAGCCTTTATCAGAACATGAATCTTTTCACTGGACACCTTAAAATCCACCACAGTAGAGAGAAAGATAACACTGTGTCTATCAGCAGAAGCCTAAGCTCTAATGCTGTGATGCCTTAAAACATACCTCATCCTGAGAAACAATCACAGCAGAGACCAGTGACGTTCTCCACTGTCACCACACCGGCTCATCGACAGTTATTTCTGTTCAGGGTGTTGCAAGTCATTCTGGGAAACAAGGGAAAACCATAACTATTATAAAATTTAATGAGATAACAGAATAAAAGGAAATTACAACACTTCATCGCAAGTAATCTGTTGGGATCCACTGAGAATCATAAGCTGGTGTTTAATATTGTAAAATTAGAGTGAACTAACCAGGCTCACAGACAAAATAACAGCACTTGCAGGTAAGTATAGTGCAGCTGATGACATACTGAATCATTAACCAGGCTGCTTCTAAATAACATTTTAAATTGTTTTCTACCATGTCCAATTTGATATTAATTGCTTCACTGCACACAGTTTCTGCTTTATGGCACAGAACAGGTGATCTGTGCAGAGTTTTGTTTTGATATCCAACATGTTTAACATCTTCACAAAAGTGAAAAATAATGGATGACAGTCAGGGTTTATGGGAAATATATTAACTTAGCGACTTGTAATTTCATAAATGTAACGTTATGACAGTACTACACATTGTCCCTTTAAGCATGGGAAGCAGAGGAGTATAGTCTGTATGGAGTTAGTTTGGACAGACTATGTGGAACCACATGACACAGGCTGTTGGTGTAAACATCTTTTGCTGTCATCCATTTATTTCATCCATGATGACCTTTATGACTTGGTTCCATGAAGCTTTTCAGAATAAGATCTCTTTAACTCTCCTAGGGGGCTGGAGCTGGGGACCCTAAATGGGTCATGGGACTAAATCACAAGAGAAGTACTGTGGTTTAATGAACCGGAGCCTCGGGACAAAGAAAGCAACTTTATGATTTGGGTTGCAGGCTGAAATACTTTAAAAAAGGCATAATTAAAAGATCCAAAGGGATACTGTACATCACCGCCCATAACTTAGTGGGATTCAGATTTTTTTTATTATTCCATTTTGGAAAAACAAGTAATTTGACAGCTATAGTTACTTCGGAAATCAAGATTAATATGAAATAAATGATCATTCTAGTACCATCCAAGTGTATAAAATAAAATTAGCTCCACATCAACTAAACTTCTACTTTATGATCTGTATACTACTTCTGCAACTGCTACCTCCCAAAAATACCTATCAATGCTTTTGTATAAATAAATATTTCAAAGTTAAATTCAAATATAAAAAGAATAAAGGGTGGAGGATGTTAAAAGAATACTTAAAGGATGAAAGGCACAACACACTGAAGGATACAAGACTGTCACTGCTGATGGGGAACACAGGGAGATTTCAGGTGCACGTTTACTTACACACTGCACAAATGCATACGCACACACAAACTGATATAATACAAAGATACAGGCACACACAAACACACCGCCACAAACTCATAAAGACAGACACAGGGTTGGATACACAAACACACACAAGGACCATCTACTAAAAAGTGCTCTCTCTGTCTCTCTGTCTCCCCTCAGGGCGAAGTCAAAGAATGGTGGCCGGTGTCTGAGAGAGCGTCTGGAAAAGATTGGCCTCAACCTGCCCGCCGGGCGACGCAAGGCAGCCAACGTCACTCTCCTAACATCTCTAGTGGAGGGTAGGGAAAATGCACACACATACACAGTGACCTGCATATATCCTGACAGATAGGGACACGTATTCACATAGAAATACCCTCGCATGAGCAGGCACGTATAAGCAGTCCCAGCGTGGATGGCTGCCTGTGTCCGCACAAGTGGAGGGTGTCACCTGAAATGCTGAAGCTGCCTCAGAGTCAAAGAGCAGTGAAGTGTTTGAGCTGAGAGAGATGGCTGCAGCAGTAGCCCTGACCTGCGTAGCTGCACCAGTTCCATTATGTATCGTTAAAAAGCATTTATGGATAATTATTTGATATGAAATTCAAACTGACCTTTGACTCTTTAAAACACAGAAGTAGCAACTCCTTTCTGCCAGGCCAATGCAGAAAGCTACACCTTTTTTTGTACTGCACCAGTTTGACTGTCATTAATAGACACACTCCCGTTGTCTTTCCGTCTCTCCACCACCTCCTCCAGGCGAGGCCGTCCATCTGGCGCGGGACTTTGGTTACGTGTGTGAGACAGAGTTTCCAGCCAGAGCCACGGCCGAGTACCTGTGCAGGCAGAGTGACCCCGACCAGCTCCCGACACGACGCAGCATGTTGCTCGCCACCAAGTGAGTGGCTCATCCCTGCTTCTGCATCGTGTATCAGTCTTTTATAAAACCGTTTTTAAAGGCCAAGGCTGACAGTATCCTGTGCATTTGTTATTGTCAACAAATCACATTTAAAGACCAAAAGCAACAATGTTTGCTTCCTAAAATGTTCTGACTTCCCAGGCCCATGTGTGGCTCTCAGTGAAGATACTTTCATTTAAAAACAAAAAAATCTTGGCACTTAGTTTTTAGCAAGGATTTCTCAAAAAGAAGCAAGTAGTGAATTAGATGCAGACTACTCCCAGCTGTGGTTTGGATACACTGGTGAATAAATAAAGCTAAAAATAACGAGTTGATAATATTTAGGGCAGCAGGACGGTGTACAGTGTGTAAGACTGACAACAACAGAGTCAGTGTTCACATATGTTAGGGGATCAGTACATCGTTGGTTTGGCTTCTGGAAGTCATTGACAAAAATAATAAATAATAAATAATAAGATGTAGAGCATCAGCCAGCTTAACCTTTAAAGACAACTGTGCTAGATGTGTAACAGATAACACCATGTTAACAGCTGATAAAACCATATTTAGTCGACTTTGAGATTTACATCAACATTTCGTATCCAGTTTTGACGAAACAGAACTGAAAATAGGCAGGATGCCATATATTGATTGTATCAGCAACTGATGCATGAACTAAAAAATAATTTGCGATTTATAGTTAAAGCGCCAACTCACCACATTTAGAAAGTAAAATCTTTCTATATTTGAGATTAAGGGTTCACTTTTGATCCTGGAAACAAGAGTTTTGGTCAAAGTGTTATCACAAGGTCCACTTAGCTTAAAGCCCATTTATTGATAAAGGCCATTAGATGTTTTTGAAAGTAAATGGGTCTGGTAATGAGAGACTGTCAAGTATATTTGTTAGAATAACCTACTTTGGTCCACTTTGTGTTATGTTTAAAGCAAGGGAAGGACCAAATGTGCAGACACAAACTCTGGTTCTAATATTTATCAGTCTTTATTCAAAAAATAAAAAACTAAAGTACTGGGTGCTCTACTTGACAGGACAGAACTAAAGATTAATAGAATTGTCAGGGAGTCAAAAAACTAAACTCTGGTAACAAACTCAGAACAACATACATACAGAATCAAAAACCAAGGCAGCAGAACATCAAACTCACAAGTGTCTAGAAACAGAAAGTGAAGGTAAGAGAACCTACCGGGTGTGGAGATCAAGGAGGGAGCACAGGAGACAGGAGCAAGCGAGGCATGGAGATCAGATGAGCCAGCAACCAGACTGAGGGAAGGGAGGAGGATGTGTAGACAGGAGACCAGGAGGTAAGGAGCAGCAGGTGGAAGCAATGACCAGAGTAAAGCTGGGGACAGTGATATAAAACAGGAAACTAACCAAAATAAAAACACCAAACAGGAAGCTAGTCCACAACACTTACACAGTGTAAGCAGTTACATTTCCAAACTGTGCAGTTGAAATAGTAGATATACAGCAGGTATATTGTGCATAACCTGTTTGTTTGGCCTCCCCTTATTCCACCAAACTCCAGTAGCCTTGGTGTTGAGGGTGTGAAAATCAAACATCAGCCACACTTTGACAAATATTTCAAGCTCCAATTTCAATAAGACCAAATGTATTCACAATAAGGGTGTGTTGTGTGTTGTGTGTTGCTGCTACTAACAGCTTTTCCTGAAGACTTACTAGTATTTAATTTGGACAACAGTAAAGCCACAGTAGTTTAAAAAAAACATGCCCTAATAGCAAACTGATTCCTCATCTCATCCCCTCTCAGGGAAATCTGTAAGGAATTTGTCGACCTGATGTCCCAGGACCGCTCTCCTCTGGGCGGCAGTCGGCCCACCCCCTGCCTGGAGCCTGGCGTCCAGGGAAGCCTCACCCACTTCATGCTGCTCACCCACGGCTTTGGTACTCCTGCCATTTGTGCTGCGCTGTCTGCCTTCCAGAGCTACCTGATGGAGGCGATCAAAATGCTGGACAAAGGAGAGGGTGGAGGGAAGAGCCACCACGACAAGGAGATGAAGCACCGCAAATAGAGGGAGAATGGACTGACGCGCTGATGGGTGGGTGAGAGGCAGTAAGGAACAGAGAGGGGGAAAGACTGACTCATGCCCCTCTGCGTCTTCACCTTCGCCCTCAGGATAAAAACTGAGATTTTACCTCCCAGAAACCCCTGTGGCCCCTCTCACTGAGGAGGCGGGGTTTATGATGATATCTGTACTGTAATGTGTGTCTGCAACCACCTCACTCAAAATGACGCATGGACCTCTCTTCTCAGTAGCTGGTTTGTGTGACGATGGCATCTACAAAACATCTCTTCAGGATGAGTTCCTACGTATGGCAGTATGGTTTTAATTATTCATTCCCCCTTTTTTTTTTATTTTGGTAAACATGTCTCCTTTATCTGTGTTTAGAAGTCTTCATCAGTCTCTCACACACACACACAAATGTTCTTTGGACTGAACTCATGTGGGAAGCTTTGTAAGCCATACCCGAGACAACACCCTGCTTTTTGCTCCTCTGGAACTTTGGGAGACTTTTTAAATCCACCTGATTGGACAAACACAACTTCCATATGTAGTTTGACTTAGTGGGTGGTCATGGGAAATTGAGTTCTCTGGGTTCTCTCATGGTGGAGTGAGGAGGAGTCAAAGGCAGCTAAAGGAGATTTGTTTTCTTTTATTTTGAAGTACAGTGTGTTGGTAACTTAAGAAAATATTACAAATCATTTTATACTTTCTGTGTATGTTTATTAATGTTATTACTGTTATTATTGTGTTACAGCATAAATGTAATATATTATTAAAGAATTCAGACGTGATTGCTTGAGTTTCATCAGTGTGTTTTTAAGTTTTAATCTGAAATATTAGGACAATAAAAAGTAATGGCACCTTCAGGCGCTTTTACCTGCAACCCACTTTAACTTACTTTTAAATTCAAAGGCGATAATGGACATTTATTTTATTGTGTTTTTATTGTTATCTTTGCACTCCTGTCTCTCTGTCACAATAATGTCATTTTTTTATTAATCCCTGCAGGCAAAGTCTGTTCTCACTTCAACGGGAAGGTCAAGGCTAGGGCTGCAACTAACACTTAATTTCATTATTGATCAATCTGTCAGTTGTTTTTATAGATAAATGATTAATTTCTGTCTATAAAATGTCACATAAGTCACGGTGATATCTTCAAGTTGCTTGTTTTCTGTGTCCATCAGTTTAAAATGAAAAGATATTCAATTTAAAATAATACCAAACATGTTTTCAGTGATGGCTCTAGGGATGCCAGTGTTGGTCAGTCCAACGCTTGTACAGATGTTCACAGTCCCTAGCAGACTGTGGTGACCCCCTGACCTTTCTTCTACAAGTTAAGATTTTTACTCACACAGTCAAATTTGACGGTGGAATCACAGTTCCCCAACAATGTCAGTAATAACTTTGATCACTCTTACATTTGTGGCTTTGAGAGAAATAACTTTTGGATGGATCACCTTGAACTTTGGTACTAAAACTCCCCCCAGGGTGGTGTAGCAAATTTTCAGGTAGCGCCATCATCAGGTCAAACGTTTAATTTGTCCAATGCTTTGGCATCAAATGCCTAATAGCAAATACCTACACAGCTGATAACACACAGTCTCAGCTGTGTTTCTTTGGCTATTTGATTTGAAACATTTTTGTAAAACTTAAAGAAATTGAGATAAAAAAATTGCTGTAGTGCAACTTTATTTGTTTAGTCCATTAAATGTTAGATAAAAAGGCCCAATGCAACATCTTCAAACTGCCTGCTTTGTCCAAACAATGGTCCAAAATTAATAGATATTCTATATATTTTGAACTGTTTGTTTTCTATTGTTAAATACAAAATAAAAGCAGTGTTCACAATTGAAAGAAGTTTCTCAATGACACCACAGGTATTTTCCCTGATAAATACCATTTTTTTGCCATCTGAGTAATCAACTTATCATTAAGCATGTCTCAGCACAGATTCAGCCTTAGGTAGGACTGACCCTTGCCAACACAGGAGCTTGAATGGTGCCTTTGCTTTCACACTCAGAACAAATCTGCTGTGTGCACCCCATGGGGCCACTCAATAAATCAGGGGCCCCCTCTGCATGCAGGAGTCCAGCAGGGGCCCAAGTCACAGCTGCAGCCCCGTCCCTGGGAGAAGAGTGGCAGCCATGCGACCCCCAGCATCCAACAAGCCACACACCTTGCTTCCTCCTCAACCCATCTGTTCTGCATTTCTCCCAGCGACTACCTCTCACCTCTCCTTCTCAAGTCCTTCACTTTATTTAACCAGGATGAGATACTCGGTGCAATTACTGCTTTCCAGGGAGGGCACACATACATGTCGCCTGCTCATACCGTTGAACTTCACTCAATTCTACCTGCTGTATCTCCCCTTCTCTCCTCCCATCTCATTACCCTACTGTGTCAATTCCCCCCCCCATCCCTTTATCTCCCTCTATGCAACCTAACTGCCGCCCGCTTCTCTCCCTCCTCTACCCCCTTTCCCCTGTTCTCTCCGTCTATCTGACACTCAGCGGGGCCGCTCTCCATCTTTCTCTGTGCCTCCAGGCAAACATATGCTGCTCTTCCCGTCAGATTCTGGTGTGTTTGAGAGAGGAGGGATTGTTTAATGTTTATTAATCACCTGTCTGCGGTGGAAAGACGAGACGATGATAGAGCCACACACACGCTGTCTCTCTCTGCCTTGTACACATACACCTATTCAGCAGGGATGTTGCCAACTTGGCCTGGTTTTCCCATGAAGTGCTATATGTAAGTATAGTCATGCACTGTTCATTACTGAACTTACTGTTTATTCATTTACTCACACTGTATCAGCAAGGTGTCGATTCAACACCGTGGTCATTCTTGGATCATATTTTGTGATGTTTTGACTGCATGGATATGCTACTATTATTAACTCCATGGCTTAGTGTCAAACAATGTAAGCATGTTAGAAAGCCAGAGTGAAACATTTACCTACATACAGTGTATTCATTCAAACATTTTGAACTTTAAATAAGTTTGTGAATCATGTTACTTGAAAACTTGTGATGTAAGACACTATAACAAGCGAAAACTGAACTAACATGACTATTTGATTACAGAATCCTCCTTTTTCCAAACACCATATGTGCATGCGTGTTTCATTACACATGTACAAGCATGAGAAAGTGTAGATTACCCTCACGCACACTCACCGAGTGCAAAAGTACACAGCCAGGAGGCTGTTCTCTTTCTATGTGCAGATGAGTAGACTAGAGAGTGATGAGAAAGCACCACAGGGACAAAGAGCTTGTATCTCAACTGTGTGTGTCACTTTTTATTGGAACAGAAAGAGCAAGGTCAACACTACAAAAAAAGAAAGAAGAAAGAAATGAGGGTGTGAGGGTCGGTAGTTAAGCAGTGAGTAGTCACTTGGCGCCATGGGCGAGCTTCTCCAGGTCATGGATGCCCTCCTTGTCAATCAAACGGACGGTGAAGGAGGGCAGATTCAGAATGAAGCGCTTGTTCAGCTGGAGGATGGACAAAAGGACAAGTTATTAAATAAATTCACAAGTAAACAGAACAGATGTAGAGTCAAGTAAAGACAAAGCACAGTGATAAAGGAAAGTGGAATATTGATTATATGAGATAAAGGCCAATCCACATAGAAGGTATCTAGATGTCTGCCACTCAACTGATACACCTCCATTTCATGAAGTGTCAAATCACAGTGGGTCTCATTCACCAACATCTTCCTAAGTGTTTCCCTAAATTTCATTGCAAGTTGTTCTTAAGAAAGTTTCTATGAAAAGTGTACATCCGATTCATGAACTAGTTCTTAAACCGCAGAATTGTTCACACCCTTGTTCTTATACTGTGCAACTCAGTTTTGATGTGGACTCCTGGTAGTTAAGCGTTAATCCATGTAACCCATGTTGGTGTGATTCTTTTTTAAGCTCCTAAGAGCAGACTGAAAAATGCTGGAAGCTACTTTTGCAGAGTGAAATTACAATTTGAAAGGCTGGTCAACACCAGTCACAATTAAAGATGCTTATAAATCTTATTCATACACACAAAAAAGAATCAAACTACTCACTTCCTCAATGCACTTCTTGAGGAGATCCACAGCATCATCTCGGGTCAGATCTAGAACAAAAAGCAAATGAGAGTGCAGAAATCATCTCGGGTCAGATCTAGAACAAAAAGAAGAAGTGGCAAATGAGAGTGCAGAAAAGGGAATAACAAACATGAATTAGAGACATAAATTAGGTGTAAATAGGGTTGAAGAACATCTTTCATCAACAGAGAAACTAACCAGATGGTGCAGTGTGGTACTAGTGACAAAGGCCTTGTGATTTGCATGATGTCGTGCTGGAAAAACTGACGCTAGCTTGTCAGATTCATCAGGAATATAAATTTGGAATTAGCATAAAAATGCAGCTTTTTTTCTACAGTAATCATACACCATTAGGTAAAATAACTTTATTTAACAAGACCCTTTCAGTGCCTCGAGTCTGTATCATGAATAAAGTGTGACTCCATAACCTCTGCAGTGCACACAGTGTAGTTTTTATTTCTTTCTCTTGCCTTCCTTCCCCGTCAGTCTCATGGGAGCAATAAAGAGCAACAAACATGCATGAGGCATTTCTCTGCACTGACCTGGCCGGTAGTAGCGGTCAAGAATGGAAAGAAAGGTGAAGTAGGGCCCCGTAGCCGTGAGCAGCGAAGGGGGCCTTGGCCAGGGAAGACAGGTGGTCCATGTAGAAGAGACCTGGGCCGTCTGTGTCATCGTAGCCCGCCAGCAGCAGGTTCACATGATACGGAGTCTGGAGACAGAGGAGGGGGGGGGAGCAGAGAGAGAAAAGAGGAGGGCAGTGGAGAATACTTGTTACAAGGTGTTAACCTGGAGTGTAGACTAGTAACTGAATTCAACGTTACTGTTGCAAATAAAATCTTATGAGAACATTTTTTCAGACATTGAACACAGGCCAAAAAACACAACACTGTACAACTCTGGTAGTGAAACCAAAATCTGATTCTTCCAAAACGTATTTGGTGTTTTGTTGATGTTTCTCCAAAATCTCCCATACTGCTCTTCTGGGTTGAGATCTGGTGATTGTGAAGGCCATAGGATATGATTCACATCATTTTCATACTCATCAAACCATTTGCTGACCCTTTGTGTCCTTTGGCTGGAGGCACTGTCATCCTGGTAGAGACCACTCATCTATTCAGGTCACTTCTTGGTGCCAAATTGCCATCACCACACAGACTGCTGCAACAGTGTCAGAGACGGCACTTTGTCTCACACATCTGTTCCACTGAATCGTCAGGTTCATGGAGCAGTTCCCAAAGCAAGACATCGAACCACTTGAGAAGTACAACTTCTCTGTCTCAGCTTGAACCAAATAAACTGCACCTAGTTATTTGATTTTTCAGCTTCAGAGAGACATGGAGAGACGCACAGAGGCAACACATGATCAGTGATGAGAGCGAGTGAGGGAACCACACGAGGCTGAAGTGAGAGAGCACAGGGAGAGTAGGCTGGAGAGGAGAGGTGAAAGGGTGACACAGGACAGAGGAGGTGTGTTTGTGAGGGGTACAATCAGGGTGTCACTGGCAGTGTGACATCTGCTGGGAGTCAGCATCCCTGTTGCTCCTTCTACCCCCCCCCCC